AGATGGAGGGTGCTTGGTTTTTCTTCCCGTCTTGCTTCTTATGGGGGAAGCGACGTGGTTGTACGGTGGCAATCCGATGATTAGCTCCTACAATTCCACTTCGAACTTTTAATCGAGACAGGTTGAGACTGCTAGGGCATGAAGATTAAAATCACCAACCAGGAGAATGTGATTGTGTGCGTGGGCGCGGATAGCTTTCATAGTGGAGGATAGGCGATTGTACGTTTCTGGTGGACGACGGACGGCGGAACACGATGTCCACTAAACATGTAGCCCCACATAATAAGTGAATGCGACACCAAAGCGCGTCAACAATCCAGACATCCGGGTCTGTTATGAGATCAAGATGTAGTTCACTGAGGTAACAGTGTAGTACACCACCTCATCTATTCGGCCGATCGTTGCGCAGTATGAACATTCCTGGTAGTAAGATTTCGGCGTCGTCGACCACTTCATCCAACCATGTATCAGTTAACATAATGAAATTCCATGACCTCTAGGCCTGACGCAGCCGAAGCCCTATCAGTTGGCTGTTAAGGCATTGTGCGTCGGTATAAACACAACAGTGCCTTATGTGTTGAGATTGGTGTAAGCTCTAGACAGTAATTTTGAAACTTGGCCGACCCTTGTGAGGTCGGCTGCTACGCATATTTTTGAAGAGCCACCGGCTGTCGAGAGGGAATTGGGATACATTACTGCACCAAACATTTCAGGTCGGGCTGACCTTGATCGCCAGTTACACCCTGCCATGTCCCTGCGGATGTCATGACGGCTATTAGGTTAGTCACTGCACTGGACTCCACAACGGGCGGTTTCGCTGAGTTTGCCACCCGCGTCGAGTAATGATTATCCTGTGGTCGTGGCCTTGTTGCATTCAGCTGGATGTTTGTTGGCAGCATGTTACGGCACTTAGCTCAGATCTCTAGGAGGGTCTGTACCGTTAACTCCAACCATACAACCAAGTTCCACCATCTAGGCACCCATCCTTTGTAAGTTGGTGACACGGGAAGCCTTTACAACGAAGTGGCAACGTTAGCAGAAGAGAATGGCTTATAAATGTATCTCCATTGCTCTTGGTCATGTGCCTAAACTTCGTAGAAAGTGGAAGCTTCGGACTAGGGGAAACCGTAGACAATGACGGTTTTCTTATCGTGTTTTTACTTCCGGCTTGATTGTGCTCATTTTTGTATGTTACTTCCACGGGATGTCAGGTAGTAGGGAACTCTGTTTGAGGCACTATGGACTTGATTCACAGACAGTAGAATGGACACCGCCACATCCACGGAACTTCGTGTTACGCGAAATAATCGAGACTCACTGTAGTGCAATAGGCCTTAGTGACGTGCGATGTATCTCGATTTATTGAACTTGGCAAAACACCGATGGCATTACAGATGGAGTCCCATTGGTTGCAATCATTCATAAGTTTACCTCTGATTGCATTTAATCTAGTTTCGGGAAAATTTGTGCACACAAGTCTTAAGGCACCATGGTTGCGCCTGGTAGTTATTGGCGTAACAGCACTAGGTCCTGTTGTTTTATGTGGATTTGTTGGCGATACTAATGACAGCAAATCATTATGTGCCACATCCGTTTTGCCAAGCCAGGTACGTGTAGTCATTGTTGCCTTTTCTAGCGTTTTCCTAGCAGCGACCGACGCGTATGGTATCGAGTAATACTTTACTGTTGACTGGCAGTCGTTTTCGGTCTTAAGCATGGCAACTGAACTATTGATTGCTACACCCTTGGAGGAAGTACAAGCAGCCGAGCTGCTAACTACCTCGAGTGTCGGAACAGATAACGACCTATCCACTTACAGTATTGAAGTGGGTTGGGACACACCGGGACCGACATGCCACGATGAAGATGGGACATCTGCAGTGTACCGGAGAACACGCGGTTGCAGTATTTTGCAACATTGGATTTTACGGTTGTTTTAATCTTCATACTGTCCACTTGTTTTACTGACTGCACATCCGTTGACATAAAGCGTTTTGGTGAGTACCTTGCTGCACCGTTTCTCGCTCTGGCTGATTCGCCTCCTATTCTTGTAGCCTGCACAATATATGTTGAGTTCAGTCGCTTCCGACTTCTATACTGTCTCGTATTTGACACGTCTTACGTGTTATTCCTTACCGACCAGTATCCTAGGCTCCACCCAACACATCTGGCTCTCTCTCTCAACACATCTGGCGTAAATGGGGAAGTGTGAGCGGTATACTGAGATGCTAGCATAGGTTAGTTTATTTCCACTGGCGTTCGCCATTTTCTCAACGGCTTCCGTCAGCGTTTAACACTGATTCGTTAAACAGTTTAAAGCTCAAACAACCGGGATTGAATCTACAACCTGACAAAACAAAAACGTCTCCGTTTTGCTGCTGTAATGCCCAGTTTCGAGTGGACTTTTCCATACACATTTAGACTGAAATGACTTTGAGCGGTTAAAACATGTTAAACCCATCTTGCTGACTCTGGCACATCGGCCACATTTATCAGTTGGATGGATCATGTTCATTAATGACTTGCACTTTTTGGTTAAACGGTTATAAGATTAATGAACTGTTCAGCTTTCCAAAGCTCACGACGATGGTGGGATGAGTCACGTATCGAGTGCGTGCGCAGTCGCTCGACTGTATTCGCAAGTAAGGTAAACATCGCGCTTTGTTTGTTGGCGGGTCGATGGATGTCCACTCCGACTGGGTAGGAGAGCGTTTTCCCGCAGCTGGACGCGATGGATACGAAGAGACAGGATAGGAGAGTACAAATCCTTCCTCAGCCGTCTTGAGGAACAAGTTATAAGAATAAGCTTGGGGTTGTCGGAAAGCCTCGAGATTTCTGCGCCGAACGATCTTACACAACTGAAGTTTTGGCTCATAGTGATAGACCAATGTAAGTGAATGTAAATAGGATAGTCGTTTGAAACGGCAGATGTTGCTGGAATCGTGAATTATGGAAGCAAATTTCACGCATAACCGTTCGGTGAATAGCGCTAGTAAAATCGATTCGAATGACCCTACCGTGACTGAGAGCACCTAGAGAGGAGCAAAGTGCTTAACAACTAGAGCACCATAACAACACTCCTGGCGGCTGCCGTGACATGAGTGAAGTAGGCAAGAGCAATTCGACAATCCGTGGACAGTAATACGGTGGGTTACGTACCAAGTGGCTGGTTAATTTGTTGGATGCAATGACATACGGGTAGGAGTAGACGAATTGGTCTCCCTTCGTATGAGTTATCCAGTATGGCATGCAGACACCATCGATCATAAACTCGCTTCTTTTAAAAGTAAGGGGAGACGGCATGCTCAGAGGGAAGAGTTAACTTTGGACTACACGAATAGTTCCTGTCCGTTTTTGTACACCAGTGCACAGTTCAGGCCGAGCTCCACTTTCAGCTACGATAGTAGTAGCTTTGAATAGAAGCTGGGTCGACGTGTCTTTCGACTGAAGCCATTTTGTATGGCGGATGTAAGTAGTAAGGTACGACGTGGCGAACTAGATAGAAAGGTCTAATATATGAGACACTACAATTTCCCACCGTCACATGCAATCCAAACTGTTGCAGGTAGCTGTGGAATACATGAAAAACCGGCATGCAGAAAAAGGGGAGATAGTGTCTCCGTAGGTCGAATGTTCGTGCTGTCCATGACAAATCTTTCCACGCAGTACTTATCACTTCAGACGTACCTCCAGACTGCATAGAAACGCATCAAGGGTACGTCGGTACGCAGCATAAACGCTTCGCTGCAGCGCAACCACCATCGGTCGCAGGTGGGCTAAGGATGCTGCGAGGGTCGCCGGGTCCCAAAGCAGGTTCAAAACCGCGCCATTTATTACAAGTCAGGCATGTGATCCAATGAACAATGAATTTATACGGGTTAAGGAGCGTTGCTTTACCAGTCCCGTTCGATAGTTGTTGGGGATGTCGACATAACAATAATGATGAGGATAGTAAAATGGTTAATAATTTAAATATGCAAATGAGGACTTATGGTTTGCTCCGCTGTAGTCCTGCGATCCACTTAGATTCACAGCACCCACGGTTAACAACAAATAATTCCATGGTGTACTCCTAGTGTAGGATGGAGACGTAGTGTTAAGTGACAAAGTGTAAGTGGATGAGTGCATCGTCCAACCGTTTCCAAACCAACGCCATCCGCAGTGAGTAGGAGTCTACATCTAGTGTCCGTGAAATAACCGCTACAGGTCTGACTTGCAACAGGTAGCCACAAGGTAAAGTGCGATTTACGGTGGGATAAAGCATAGCAACTTGGAGCACTGGCACCGTGGCGGAAGTGGAGTTGCTTCGGGTGCAACCGCTTCAAAACACTAAAGCTCTACGATGGGTTTTGTCATTAACCGTACTAGTAGGGTTAAAGTAGCCGGGGCTTAGGACGCAATGAGTCCCAGTAAACGAATACATGAGCGCTTTACCGACAACATATTTCACTACCGGCTCATCCATTGCTTGTGCTTCACATGAATATACAATTTCTCCATGAGTTGGCGTGGTTCAAGACTGATCGACCTCTGCGTGGCTTGCATGTAACGCCGGCTAGAAACACCGATTAAAACCAAGTGGGGCTTGAATTCAAATTACTCGCTGTCTGCACTCAAAGAGCGGCAACAAATGAGGGCTACCTCCTTGCTTTCATTGATCGAACTTGTAAACAACAGTAATATCTTCGCTGTTATGTTTTGGTGTGTCCCTGTGTGTTTAGATCAAGGCATGTAATCTCAGTTAAGACCACGAGTTACATCGTGGTGAACTTCAGTAAGTTGTATCTGTGGTGATGGTTCCCATGGGGAAACCACCACTGCAGATTGCCTTGACGCAGCTGGTGAACACGTATAAGTTTGTCTTTCAAAACCCAACACTGTGAAAAAGTACGGTAAAGGGAATGTGATGCGAAGCCGAGGGAATAAAAAGGCAATGCTTTCAGAATACCTATTTGTACGCATTCGTAATTGTTACATACAAACAATGTGCTCATAATCACTCAAATATAAGTTGATCAGAATGCAGAATGTACAAAATAATGGAAGACCACTACAACAACTCGCGCAGTTGGCTCCAAATCTTGGCGTTGTCATACAGACATCAATGACTTGATGGCCTTGAGATCGTCCACATAGAGTGTGAACACGCGGCAGAGGCATACGGAAGCTAATTGGGGTTCGTGCATTGTACCTGACCGTCAGTCATATAAACGACCGCCATTCACGCTAGCTCAATGGGGTTTGCGGACCGTGTTTTATACCTCAGTTGGTTGGGGAGGCAGTAAATGCTCGGGTGGCTCATCCATTGAGTGTTCTACGAGTTTGATCCGTTCGCTAAGGCGTTCCACCGTGCTCCTTATCAGAAATAAAGATGGAAGAATTCGATAGATTTACTGGACAAATAATTAAATAGCCTACATGAATAACACAAGTCCAAGTGCCTGCTAACACACTCAGCCTATGTGAAGCAAATATACTAAACTGACCAAAACGTTCGCACCTTTACCAAAATCAATGATTAAGTTGTGCACATGTAAGAAGTCGCATTTCGATTTAACCCGGGCTTAACATTTCGGAGCCAACACACTCAGTTGAAATTGGGTGACCTGTACTTTGGACGCGAACAGCTGAGTTAGAGATATATCCCCGCTTATTTAATTGAGCCATACAGTGCTGCGACTTCGACGACGAACAAGAGGAAAAAGTAACAGAATGAAAGTCGAGTAACTACTTATAGCGCACTGATCGCATTTTGATGGAGTACATCTTATGTTTTCACACGCCTCAATAATAAAGTATTTAGTGATGTGAACCTGTTGCTGCTATTTATCCCTCCGTGTTGCCAACCCTACAGGCAACGTGCTGCATACCAGTACTCCGTGACTGAACGAATGAACGTTAATTGGCTAAATAAAAACACCTACTCTGTGCTTTGGGAGATTGACATACTGAATGCACTTTTCCAAGCATACCTGGTCCTGTCCGTTCTCATTCCACCCGAGGGAAGTATGTGCCATACAGTCACCAGAGGTTTAGCTGCAGATAAGTTCAGTGCTCTACTACGAGACAGTCACAAGAAAAACCCGGCAAATACGCAGATAATTCAGTTAATTCATCATTGTTGTTCCCCAACAGAAGGCTTAGGCTAGTCTGTAAAGGAACCAGACGCCGCTGTATCAAGCTTTTGAGTTTGTGAAATCCATTAGAACAAGATTATTGATCAACTAATCACAAGCGCACGATTAGAAATAGTAGAGCTCGTACTGCTCCGCAAAACCTGCGGAGATTTCGCCGGGCTAACCTCAGGAAAGCAATCACCTTGCGGCGATTCAGACTGCGCTATTAACAACTGAGCCGTCACCAAGAGATTAAGGCCAAACCACAGCTAACCAACTGAGCTCTAGTCAGGACAATTTACCATTCACGATTCAAGTCAATCCATAACGGAATCAAGCTCCTCCTTAAGAATATTCAACTCAATCCACAAGCACATCAAGTTGAAGCTAAAGTGGCGCACACGCACAACTGCGTGCCTATCGTCTTGACCAATTGCAAATCACTGCTAGTGTACTAAGAACATCTGCATCGGTTGGTGCAGCGGATAGACTGCGCTCCGCCAAGGAAGCACGTGATGTACACGCGGACGTGAAAACAACACATGAGCTCATTCACCGTAGGACGAGGTGAGGACTAGCACGCGGCATCTATGGACGGTTGAGGAGGTGCTGGAACTCCCACCCACTCGCTTATGCGGCATCAAGACACAACAAAGAACTGGGGGGCCGGAGATATTCCATCCGCGTTCATAGTGCTCACTGTTGCGCATAGACGACCGGACATGAAATGTGCTCCACAATGAGACAGTATCGATTGCCTTCACTGAAGGTGGCTGCATGCAATCGAGCAGTCAGATCCGTCAACCTCACCTGGTTTGATCTATGCTTAGCGGTGTCTAGGTGTGATCGATTGTGGATAATATTGCCTAGGTGAAATAATGCGTGCGGTGCTTCACTACGCGCTATCATGGAACAATGCGTTAGTACTCGGTGGGTAGGACAGAATTGCCTATTAACTGCAGTTGATCGGCCTTAATGATACAGTTAGCATCAGCATCTGCACAGCAATGCATGATGTACTGCAATGAGCTTTGCGGAGGTGTACCGCGCAAATTGTGATAACGTTACTGGGTTGGTAACAGCTTGCATTTACTGGTCTATATGTAGTCGTTAGTATAATGTAGCCGTTGACATGGTGAACGAATACGTTTGAAAAGAAGTGTCATGAGCTCGTACGAAACGAGGATGAAACGATGATCTATGGTAACGTTAGCGTACTCCTCACCAAGGTGCCAAAATGTGACGCACTGGGTATGGTGAAACGCTGTTTGACCGAGGAGAATAACCTAAGGAGTGGCCGAAGCTTAAGGTGATTGAAACAACCGACATTGCGCCGTATATTGTTTTAGCTCGGATTTCAGTCGGAACTAGACACTCGAGAACATGGTGTTATCATTAGATCGTCAATGTCCACTATTTTGTACACAATACTGGCAAACTCCAGTAAATGGTCAAAAGTTGTTGGTATCAAGTAGACGGCACATTTTGATCATAAAAGAAAGCTAGTTTTTGGAGAATCTGAAATCACTCACCATGGAGTTGCACATCGCCATTCCATGACTGCTCCGTTTGCAAGAATGATTAGCTTCCAAATCGATATTTCGTCAACTGGCGGATACAGATGGGACACAGCACTACAACTCCGATCTCTGTGTTTCACAGATAAGGACATGTGCACAGAGAAGGAAGTTGGCAACGCCGCTTGCACGTAGACATCAATGTAACTGTTGAATAGTGGACACCCGAAACCGGTAGTGAAACACACGTTTCACAATATGCTAAAACCACATTGAAAATATACAGCGCAATGGATTGGGACGATAAGAATATTATAGGTAGAGGGAAGTTCGTTTTCCTTTCCAACGGCACTAACCAAGGAATAAGATTCGGTATCTGTTCAACAATGGTGTATCTGAAATACACACTTTTCGTAAGTAGGATGACTAACTGCGTTCACAAATGTATTCACAATAACTGTGAATATGTGTGTATGGGAGATACCGCGAGCAAACTGCACACAACGCTGCTAGAACACCTGAGGCGCAAGTCATTCCGACGTCTAAGTACAATGCTCTCCTGTGAGATTCAGCGGTGGCGACGCACGTGTTAGGTACAATGCATGTAAGGTGGCCGGATTATTGGTGAGCCAAAGCTAGGCGCTTCCGGATTACTTGCGCGCCAAACCGGGACACTTAACCTACCACCGTTTGTTTCCGCATATGCTGACCGTACAACAAGTTAAAAAAATAAATTTCTATATTTATTGCTCCAATGCATTAACAAAAATGACTTAAGTTTTAGTCAGTACAATGGCTGCACTACTGAAGTTATATATAAATAAATAAGTAGTGTATTCTCGATAGAAGGAGGCACACAAGTGAAGGCATGATCAAATATACCTGCAAGCATAGTTGCTTTGGAACAGTAAAATGTGTTGTTAAAATAAAGTAATCCCAAGATTTTCGTAGTTTATACACTTGAGAAGTTCGTCAGATAGTAGTGGAATCCGGAAACATTATGGCGCTGGTTTGCGAAAATTCAAGGTCATTACTATGGTGGCAATAGCCAACGTTCGGCGTGATTGCGCCATGTTGTAACCCATGGTTTCATGAGTACATGAGCCAAAGTAAAATGTCAGTACATGTGTTTCCAATTAACAGTTGATGCGCTGTTTGATATGATATTATCTGGAACCACAATTATCGAGCGATAATGAAATAAAGGAAGAAAGGAATGTTTTATTCTCGACAATGAGACACATGCATGCATTTGCATGATCATGGCGACACAACAAGGACTGGTTAATGTAAAAACGACACAAGTAACATATGGATCCATGTGTTAAGTGTGCGCTAATGCATATAAGTAAGAACGAGCGTTGTTGTGTTGCATGAATTTGTGAATGTGACGCCGTATTTGTGATTGTTTTCGGTCAGGCGTAGGAAGGAGAGAAATGAACTCTTGGTATTGGATGACCCACGTCCGTGGATTGGGTTAGATCATCCAGATATATAAGAAACAGTGAGTTTAGTGGGCAGCGAGTCACATCCGGCACGTCAGTGTTGTTAAACGGATATTTGTGGCGTTTTATAGAAAAACACTTGCCAGGCGAAAACCCACTATGTCCTGAAACACTTCCGCTGAACTATTTGCTGGAAGTGGGTAAACCAGAACCAACCAGTTGACACCACGAAGAGATTGTTCGCCTAGCTAGATGAATGCATTTCTCGCAGTAGATCTGGGCGCTGCATCAGCATGTCGTGAAGTCGTTCGCAAGGATAAAAGGCACTCTTGTCTTCAGAACTGCATTTCACCATAAGCATCGCTTTCAGTGTTTAAACGCTAAGCTGTACTGTCCAGAATCTACCTCGATTCAATTTGGACAGATGTAGAGTGCTGCATCTGCGGCACAAGTTCGTTCATTCCTATAAACTCGGCAACCAGGAGGTTCAAACGTCTTCTGGCTGGAAGGATCTGGAAGTTTTGTCCACGTTGACCTTGGATGTACGAATCAGACTGAAACGGCGTCAAGGTGGGGCATCCAACACGTGGGCCTCCTGAAGCATGCAGTCGGGCGATTCGACCCTTCGATTTTTCCACAACTTTCAGCTCATACATACGGCCACATGTGGAATACGCAGTACAGGCTTGAGAGCCATGGCTGAGGAGAGATCTCACCGTCTTGAAGATATTCCAATGTCAGGCAAACAAAAACGTCAAGGGTCTGTATATTTTGCCGTAAACCCTGTTTTGCTAACAATTTTTATATTTTAAATTTTCACCATAACCATCCTTTCGGGACCTGTTAAGCATTAGCTTTTTTACCCGTATAGAACCATTGTCCCATTGGCCATACAGGGATCATTTGGGAGATGATTCTTTCAGTATGTGCATTAGTCCCAGAGAGACGGAAAATAAATTAAATACTTTTCGTACTTCCTCCTATGGGACGGAGTTGGTCTGGAAATGGGAAAACACTTCTACCCACAGCATATCAACCTATGTTTGTTTACCGTTCTAATCGAAAATTTGTCCGCTGATGTAAGTCTACACACGTTTTTATCTTCGTCAACCAGCTCGTTGTCCTTGATTTCCAAATCTGGGAGTGTAAATCCCAAAAGACTGACGCTCGCTTCAACTTTCTCCCAGCACGGTGGTTGGTCCAAGGCAATGCAATGAAAGCCACTCAGCTCCTGAAATCGGTTCATTCGTTCCTGTAGATAATCGACGCAATTGTCG